CGACTACGGCGAGCCGCAACCAATCGCATCAGACGATAGTAAAAACGTCCCTTTATCAACTGATAGCCATTGAAAAAATGTCCCTTTTCCAACTGATAACGATTAAACAAGTCTGCAGTCAGCCAATCTCCAAATCACGAATCATATCTATACACATGACCCAAGAACGCCTTCCTTCGTAAAATTTACATGAGGACAATGTCCATAAATCTATCAAAAACCTGATCTACAAAATTGTATTGATAACGTCGACCTATATTGAACTTATGTTATTTACACTCTGAAAACCGTCGATACAAAGTTGTAGTATTACACTCTGAAAACCGTAGATACAAAGTTACAATTATCAGTCAGTAGATTTTTTTATAAGCATGCTAACAGTAGTAGCAATATGTTGTAAAAAATTAAAAGTTCTACTTTAAATACTGCGTGGCAATATGCCCAAATACAATTTGAGTAGGTTAAATGTGGGAAGGCAAGCAAATAACCCATTAACATATGCCCACTAGTCGCCGTCAGATGGTGTTTATGTGGATGCAGTTTGTGTCTTTACTGTGACCGTTAACATACATAGGATATATCAGTCCGGTATTTAGTATAGTCCCCATATGACAATTTCGCCCCATTTTAAATATTATGATGGTTTTTGTCGCATATTTGAAAACCCCAAGAGCAAAAACATATTTGTACATAATTTTCTTGATATGCCTATGCTTTGATATAATCGATATATAATGGTCCCGCAACATGTTAGGCATTTTCATGATCATGGGTGTACATATTTTATAACCGAAGTTTTGCTTGTAATTTGATATCTATTTTCGTTTATGTTTTGAAACGACCGACTGTTCAGTAGGGTAAATGTGAAGCAAAAAAACCCATAAAAATATTACTACTGCTTGCCGCCAGATGTAGGTTTGTTATCTATTTGTGGCTTGTGTCTTTACTATCCACCATAGGGTGACACAGATATATCGCAATTTGTGAGGTAGATCTTTGAAATTTGACGTATTGATTTTTAAGATATATCGGTCTACTTTTTTTGTATAGTCCACCTATTTTTGGGAATTCAGAGGGCCAAAAAACGTTTTTGCAGAAAATGATCTACGTATAAGGGTCCCGCAGCATAATTGTGATATAAAATCATCCTGGAAGACAATTTAAAATGTAGGTCTATGTTGATTTTTGAATGACCACTTCATGGTGGATGATATAATTTTTTGTACATGTTTATTCAGAAATTGTTGACAACATTTCTTGGAAATTAAACAATTTTCGCGCTTTTTATTCCTCTTAAATCGATAATAATATTCATTTGTGCAGATGAACAAACTGATATGTAACATACATTTTTCGTATGCATGTACACCTAGGGTCAAAGACACATTACACCCATACAGGGAAATATTGACAAACACAATTACAATTTCATTAAAACATTTCAGGCAACATTTAAAATGGACATCAACAAAAACATAGCATAGCTCTTTACATATCAATACACCTCCCAGTGAGTGTATGTGTGTGACTACAACATGTAATTGATATTTTTTAACACTTTTGCAATTCAGCTCCTCCTCCTCCACACCTTCCTCCCCTATTCCTTCGGGCTACGTATTTGTTACAATTCAACAACACACTGTTGCACTGTTGAAAGCTGTTATCGATGAGTGTAATCCTAGCTGGATTGTTGTGCAGAAGCAGGAGCATTTGTTCAATACAAACACAGAAAGGTGTTCCATGAACGATGTTAATTGAAGCTGGCATAAAATCATTCGTTAATGCACGACGAAAAGCAGAAGCAGTAACAACGACAACGACATGTGTGTGACACAAACAAGCGTTTCTGTCACATTATTGCTGACCGTGGTATGGGATGGAATGGTGCCTGGACGCAAGCATGAACTGGGATAATGAAAAGCCAGGTGGTGTATACAAATACATGGTGTCGAACATGAGTAGCAGCTTTTAATTGAACTTTGACATCTGGTGGAGAGATTGTGACATCACAAGTGTTGTATTTAACGCCAGCCATTACCATCAATACAAATGAACGTTTGGAGTTATGCTTTCATAGGACAGATAGGTAGACAGAATTGGCTGCAATAATGACATAAAAACATGACAACAGCAACAACACCAATATGAAAAAAATATGCAAAGATCAATCACATGACAAATGATTGGCATAATTAAGCGCATCAGTTATAAAAACATGGATTATAACAAATACAATAAAAAAAGAAACTAAAGAAAATAAACAGATAATTATTTTACAACGTTGAATATTGAGAAGGGTAAATATTGAGCGAGTTTTATAAAATTGAATAAATAAAAAAACTAAAGAATTGAGCTTATTTGATATAAAACTTTGTCAAGAACGCAATGGAATGTTTAAATGATATTCTTATTTTACCTATAGTTGGATAGCCCGGGTGAAGGGTAGACCATGGATTCACAAAGGACTTCTATACATGGAATGCTGTGCAGCTGTTTTATAACCTACACAACTAGTTTGTGAAGGTATAAGAATTTGAAATGCCGCTGAATATTGATCATATACCCACCTATTATATCGATCGTCATATTTTCACGATACTTTGCATATATATCCGGCTCTGGCCAATGACGGACCTGTATTGTCTATGGTAAGGATTGCTTAATATTTTGTGGAAGATGAAATGGTCCAAAAAATTGTCTCGAGAGGCTGCTACATTTATGATCTAGGAGGCCACAGAGGGAATCTGGCCATCGAGTGGGTATGTTTGTTTCGATGAAAACCTACCAATATTATGCTGATTAAATGGACCGGATTTTTGCTTAATATTTTGTGGAAGATGAAATGGTCCAAAAAAATGTCTCGAGAGGCTGCTACATTTATGATCTAGGAGGCAACAGAGGGAATCTGGCCATCGAGTGGGTATGTTTGTTTCGATGAAAACCTACCAATATTATGCTGGCCAAATGGACAGGACTTTTGTGTGAAACGGGCAAAAATGTATATTATGACGTATATGCATACTGCAGTGTATGAAAGAGGTTGGTTGAGCTTTAATCTGACTTCAAGACTTTAAAAAAGACCCACGAAAAACACATCGGCACATTCCACCTGTTCGTCGACTATAAAGCAGCATTCGACAGAGGTGTTTAAAGCCATGTCTGCCGTAGGCATTCCTGCTAAATTAATACGGTTATGTAGAATAACTTTAACTGGCACAATGTCAGCAGTTGAAGTCGGAAAGGACGTCTCGGAGCCCTTTAAAACCGAACAAGGATTCAAATAAGGTGACGTGTGATCTTTTTAACATCCTGCTGAAAAAGGTTATACGAGCGGCAATGGTGAACAGAAGTGGCACACTGTAGACCAAATAACACATTTTACTCGCCTACGCCGATGACATCGACATAATGGGGCGAACATTGCGAGAGGTTACAGCCACCTTTGAACAAATTAAGAAGGAGTTTACCAAAGTGGGTATGACAGTAAATGGCAAGAATGCCATGCTAATGGTAGACTCGGACCAACTGTGAATTTGATAACTACAGCTTCGAGGTAGTCAATGATTGGTAACGCCATAAATTAAACTAATGCCATCAGTTTTGAAATTTGGAGGAGAATTGTGTTGGCCAACAGAGGCTACCTCTCGCCAGACCAAACTCTCACTCTACAAGACGCTGGCATTACCCGTGCTGTTGTATGGATCAGAAGCATGGGCCCTTGCGCAGATAAGGCAGTTCTTGGAGTGTTTGAGAGAAACATTCTCCGGAAGACCTGTGGGCCGATCTGCGTCAATGGTGAATATCGCCATCGAATGAACCATGAGTTGTACCATCTATTCTCAGACATCGACATAGTCAGACGTATCGAGCTGCAGCGACTACGCTGGCTAGGTCAAGTTATCAGAATGGATGAGGATGCCCCAGCTCAAAATCCATACAAAAGCGATGATGGTTCTCGTAGAAGGGAAAGGCCACGAACTCGATGTAAAGGCCAAGTGGAAGACACCATCTCGGAATATGGTCTTTCAAATTGGAAGAGCTGCTCACAAGACCGACGCGCCTGGAATTTTTTTTAAGTTCGGATTATGGAACAAATGATCTGTCACAAGTAGCGCAAGTAAGGATGAGGGTACAGTACGAATGAATAAAAAATAAACTTGGGCAGTAGTGAAAAAACGGACGGAATCGTTATATAGAGGAAGTACCAAACTCGTGGGTCTGTACTAAAATAAGAATGTTTTTATCGAATATTTCGCTAAAGTCCTCGAAAGTTCGTGGAACGATTAATATTCGACTAATATTCCTAATTTTTTGTTTTAATATATACGTTTGAGAAACATGTCCCAAAATACCGATAATTGGAAGGTATAGGCAATATCTAAAACTAGACATGTACCGACCACATTTTTCCATGAAAGTTTCTTGGGCGCAAGGAACTGTAAAAGCTAAAAATAATGAAAACGTTATTTTCAGAAGTTTTAAACTGATTTTAAAAATTAAAATACCCTCCATAAAAATTTTCATAATTTATTGATTATTCCAAAAATTTAGTCAACTGAATTCGGGAGAAATAAAATTCTTTCCTCTGTAGAACATAATTTCATCCAAAAACTGCCTCTGTCTGTCTACCTCTTGGAATTCTAATGCCTGTCATTCCAGACATTCTATGAATTATTGTTGACATTGACAAAAAGCTAAACAGAAATAATAAGAATAATAATAATAAGCTTGATTGATATAAGCTTACTCATGCGCACATAATTACATGTACGTATATCAAGAACTTGTTTTATTTCTTAGGCATTGTTTGTGAGTGATGTCAATAACTAAGTCATATCAACAACATATTCAACATAAAACCCCACAACAACAAATTATAATTCCACAAAAAATCATATACCCATTTTTTGTGTATAAAAGTACACACATTTCCACCAATCCACATCAGTTCATTACGCTCCATTGCAAAGAACAATCTTCAACAAAAAAATCTATTCAAAATGAAAGTAAGTATCGTAGCAGCTTAAGGATGACAACCAAAAGGATTATTATCATCTAAATAATGGGGACATAAGAATTCATATATTTTTTTCTATTTTTTATTACCATCTAGTTCCTTATCTGCTTCGCTCTCTTCGTTGCTGCTGCTAGCGCTCATGTTGTGGCTCCCGTAACCACCTATGCTGCTGCTGCTCCAGCTTATACCACTTATGCTGCTGCCGCTCCAGCATACACCACCTATGCTGCCGCACCTGCTTATACCACCTATGCTGCTGCAGCTCCAGTTTATACCCGCTCCTTGTACACAGCTCCTGCTGCCTATACCACCTACTCAGCCCCAGCTGTTGTTTCAACTCACTCTGCTGCTGTTGTTGCTCCAGCTGCCCCCGCTGTCTACACCACTTTGTTGAAGAAGAAGTAAATTCTTTGAAATTGGAATGCGTCGATTAATTAGGAACAAAATGAAAGTGATCGCAAATTTGTTTTTGGCCTAACGATTTTCGGAATAACGAATAAACAAAAATGAACTAAGCAACCTATTTATATGAGTTATTATTTTAATTGGGGGAATTTCTCGAAGAAGGTCCATTATGAAATTTAAACATCCAGAGGAATAGAACACCTGTAACTTTATACACATTTCTTGATTACAATATTATTCAGATTTGTAAATGATTATTTCTATTATTTTTGAGTAAATTGTAACAAAGCTTTAAGGAGTCTTACGATCGTATCTAATATCAGAACATATCAGTATGTGGTATAAGTAGTACACAAATATGACTTCCAGAGACATTATTGATCATATTATATTTCTTTGGGATATTTTTCACTAAGGGTATGTACGAATTTATTTTGGTGTCCACTGCGAACTCGGCTAAAAAATTTGTAGGAAAAATTTTAAAATTAATATTAAAATGGAGGATAGGTTCCGTATAAGTGGACAAAGGCTTTTGTGTAAAAAATATGAAATTATGTCTAGTTATCATCATTATTAATTTTACGAGGAAGTTACATGATATTTTATATCCTCCACAATAGGGTGGAATGTACATTAAATTTATCATTCCGTTTGCAATGCCTCGATATAATCACCGGAGACCCCATACCATTTATATATTCTTGATCAGAATAAAACTCTGTCAATTTGTGAATGTGTGTGGAAATCACGAGCTTTGATATTTTGCACTGGCATTGTTATTACTCCTAGTATTGTTGGTATTTGTATATCGGTCCATTTTCCGTATAGCCTCCATATAAGGGTAACTCCAAATATACGGTATTATGGAGATTTTTACACGTTTTTGAACCGAATTCATTGGGTATTAAATCGTACTAGCGAAAATAATCAATATTGGTGCACTTTTCAAGGTAGCCACCATATATGGTACCCCCTCATTATTTGGTATTTTGGGGGTTTTTCAACAGAATCTACTGTTATTTCAATATTTTGGATTCACTTAGGCTGTCAGATCTGCCTACGAAAAATTAGCAATATTGGTTTATGTGTTTTGGGGAAGCCCCTATATGACGGTACCCCCCAATTTTCGACATTTTGTTAGTTTTGGGCACACGTTTCTACCTAATTGGTTGTAATTTGTTATTTTGGGTCGTGGTATAGTAGTAAATATTCATACTTAAATGTATCAATATTGGTCCACCTTTTAGAAAAGGAATATTTTGAGGAGCTTGAGCACGTGTTTTTAACCAATTTATGAGTAATTAAATATTTTGGATTCTCTTTGACTAAATAATGTCCCTACGAAAAATTATCAATTTTTGGCCCATATTTCCGGGTAGCCTCTATATAATGATAACCCTCATTATTTGGCATTTTGGAGGGTTTTGTGCTTTTTCTTTATCCGAATTGGCTCTAATTTGATTTTAATGGGTTCTCATGGGGTTTTCATATCTTCCTACTAAACATGATTAATATTGATTCACATTTAAGGAAGTCTCCCATATAAAGCTACATCCCAAACTCTCGTGCTTCATTTTGGATTTTCAATGTGTAGAAAATCTCCCTAGCAATAATGTTTTTCAACCGAATAAACTGTAATTTGATTTATACAATTTTTATAGGGTGCCAAATCTTCCTACCAACAATTATTTACGGTTTGGTGTAGCTCCCATAGAAAGGTAGCGTCCAATTTTCGGTATTTTTAAGACTTTAGCCGCATTATACTACTGATGGGGCTGTAATTTGGCATAAAGGGTTCTGGAAGGCTGTCCTAGCTTTGATATAACCCTATAGAAAATTTCGCTTCTTTTTTGGTAATAAAGTGTTTACCAAATTTTCTGATGGGTGTATAAATAATTTGACATATCAGGTTCCTGTGGAATAAAAAATAAATTTAATTTGGAACATTAATTTTTCGGATCATGAACTACCTACTACTACATAACACCATAACACAGTCCCCATATAAATATCCCGATCGACTTAAGGAATTTTGAATGCACTCCACGTGGTGGGGGATGTGAAAGGTTTGACCCAGCCAATTATCGGAGAATAAGACACCTCAAAAACAAGGTTTTCAACGCTTAAACTCCATATTCTGACGACTAAAATGGTATTTTTCGATCTTTAAGAGGAAAGAAATATATATTATATCTGAGGATTCGAGTAATTGTACTACTGAATGGGTTCCGAACACAAACATTAAAAAAGGGGTATTTTCGTTATGTAGACATTAAGGGGCGTAATTTGTAATTCAAAATTTATACCCTACACAATTTAGCTTTGTGCAGTGCCAATAGTTTGTAACGCCGCAAAATATTAGTCCTAGAACCACTTTTAAGTATAACGATCGTCATATCTCAACTAGCTGAATCGATCTAGACATGTGTGTCAGCCCGTCCGTCTGTCCATTATAACTTGTAAACACAATACAAGTTACAGTTATCTACCAATCGTCCTGAAATTTTGCATGAAGAACAGGTTCTGGTCAAAGAAGATCCGTATTACTTTTGTTAATGATCCGTTAATATTTAGGGGATGAATTGGATCAAAAACTTTATTTTTGTCTGTTTTTTCTGGACGCTCTAGAGGCCACAATTATGACCCGAACATGGCGAATTTTTACTATTGTTTACTATTTACCCTATTGTTTTTGGTAATGATCGATTAATATTTAGGGGATGAAATGGACAAAAACTTTATTTTTGTCTGCTTTTCTGGTAGCTCTGGAGGCCACCGTTGTGATCTGAACAGTTTATACAGAGAGAGGGGTTTGACCATAGAATAAGCATGAGGTTTTATTGAAGATCGGTCAATGTTTAGCGAGTGAATTAGACCCAGACTTTTGTGTGAACAATGAAAAAATGCATTCTACGGCGTATATAATTATTCCTCAAGAACATAGACCCACTCCAAGTGGTTGACATTTAAATTGATATCAATTATATTGTACTCGTATGTGGGAGTTATACGTAAACATTTACCGAGATCTATCTATTCTTATTTCCACACTAGGGGGCAGATATTTCGGGCTGATCGATTTGAAACTTTACACGAAGTTATGGTCAAGGCCTATAACTTTTGGAGATAATCAGATGGTATAAATAGACCAAAAAATAGTTTTTGCCGAACATCAGAACACATCACATGGGGAAGGGAATCTGGCCAACTAATGAGAATGGATGTTTGGTCGGTCAATATTCAGCGGGTCATTTCAACTAAGACGTAAATGTTCATACCGGAAAAAATATGCCAGGATAAGAAAGAGTAGCTGCTGATTTCTAATTGGACAAGAGGGTGAACATATCGCGAAATATAGATCAGCAGAAAATTTGTGTTCCGTGGTAGTTGTGTAGGGTATAATAATGCCGGCCCCCTCTGACTATATTGTTCCGCCCACTGGTTATACCCTACACAACTATGTTGTCAGGGTATTATAGCTTTGTGCAGCCCCAAATGTTTGTAACGCCGCGAAATATTGGTCCTAGACCCACCTTTAAGTATACCGATCGTCATATCTCGACTAGCTGAGTCGATCTAGACATGTGTGTCCGTCCGTCCGTCCGTCTGTCCATTATAATTTGTAAACACGATACAGGCCACAGTTATGGACCAATCTTCACGAAATTTTGCATGTAGGATGGGTTCTGGCCAATGAAGACCCCTATTGTTTTTGGAAAAGATCGGTTAATATTTAGGGGATGAAATGGACCAAATACTAAATTTTTGTCGGTTTTTCTGGTCGCTCCAGAGGCCGCAATTATGGCCCAAACACCGCGAATTTTTGCATGGAGAAGGGGATCGGGAAAAGAATAAGCATGCCTGTTTTGATAAAGATCGGTCAATATTCAGCGGGTCAAATGGACCCTGACTTTTGTGTGAAAAATGACAAAATTTGTATTCTATGGCATATATATTTACTCCTGGAGGATGTAGTCCCCAGGATTTGATAGCATATCCAAGAGGAGTGGTTGGCCTTTAAATTGATACCAAATATAGTGATGTATCTACTCAGATGTGGGAGTTACAGTCAAATATTTACAGGTGCTTACGTATTCAGATATTATTTAGTAACCCATTACCACATTAGAGGGAGAAATATCGTGCTGATGGCTTTGAAATTTATCATGAAGTTCCAGTTATGGTCAAGAACAACGCCTACAATTTTCGGTGATGATCAGATTAAAATTTTGGGATGAAATGGACCGAAAACATAATTTTTTGTGTGTTTTCGAGTAGAGTATAATCTGAAAATCACAACACAACCCACCGTGAAGGTAATCTGGACAAGTAATTAGAAGGACTGTACTGAATATTCGAAAAAAGTAAGGAAGAGGTGTTGTTAACCTCTAATCGGACAAGAGGGAGCAAATATCACGAAATATTGCTCAGACTCGGAATAAACATCCTCAGAAAGTTAGAGTTCGTGGTAGTTGTGTAGGGTATCGCATGGTCGGCCCCGTCCGACTATACTGCTCCGCTCACTGGTTTTCATATAATTTTGTTGAAATTCCATTTATTTTGCAAAACATCAAAAATAAAATACGTTTCTTATAGCATATGAAGGATCTTGGATACGTCTTCAACCGAATTGCCTGTAATATGCATTTTTGGGTTGTTATGTAATAGGAAAGATTCACACAAAAATTTATCGACATTGGTACAATCATTTGCGTATACCCATATAAGGATACATCCTATATTTCGGTATTTTATGCAGTTTGAGCCTTTTTTCAGACAAATTGATTGGCATTTTTGAAGTCTCATAGAAAGATAGAACATTTTTGATAGTTTAAGGATTTTAAGCACGTTGTTAAGCAATTTTCTATGGCGCATCCCTCATATATCAATTTTACATATGTTGAATATCCACATCATGGCAAAGGGAATACAAATTTCGGCTCGCGCGCAGCTTACGAAGTTTCTACATTTTTAAATTTACAAGAGCATTTTACATCGTGTAGTTATTACACTACAGCTAATAAATAATACAGATACCTACCTATTTTATGGACAGGTTCATTTACGAGTATTTGTGCTTTTTAAGGGAGACGGAACTTCAGGCATATACAACATAACAATTTGTGATGCGTGTGCCGATTTAGTACTATCTTATTCTTTTTGCCAACTTAAGTCCAAATCATGCTTAAAATCTGTTTAAACAATTATATTTGTCATCATTCCTCATACGGATTGTGATGGGAATTATCAACAACAAGCTTACTCATGTAGATAACATAAGAAAAATAAGAACTTGTTTAGAGTTTGTGACGTCAGTAAAAACTCTGTAAAGCACAATAACAAAAACTCACATAGGCCAAAAAACAAAAACTTCAACTCCATTTGTATAAAAGCACCCACAATTGTGGTAATTGACATCAGTTCATTACGCTCCATTGCAAAGAACAATCTTCAAAGCACCACTCAAAATGAAAGTAAGTACCGGAAAAAAATCTGCTTTTCTACTCTCATATGGATTATTATTAATTCCTTGCATACAATTTTCTATTTGCAGTTCCTTATCTGCTTCGCTCTCTTCATTGCTGCTGCCAGCGCTCATGTTGTGGCTCCCGTGACCACCTATGCTGCTGCTGCTCCAGCTTATACCACTTACGCCGCCGCAGCTCCTGCTTACACTACATATGCTGCTGCCCATCCTGCCTATACCACTTATGCTGCTGCTGCTCCAGTTTATACACGCTCCTTGTACTCTGCTCCCGCTACCTATACTACCTATTCGGCACCTGCTGTAGTTTCAGCACCCGCTGCTGCTGTTGTTGCTGCCCCAGCTGTCCCCGCTGTCTACACCACTTTGTTGAAGAAGAAGTGAAGTTCTTTGAAATTGAAACGATTTAATGAAAATGATCCCATGATAATAGTGGCCAAATTGGTCACTATGACCAAATGTTGTTAGAAAAGAAAAATAATAAAAAAATCTAAAACTATTTATATTTGTTTTTTTTTTCCAATGAAATTTCAACTTAGATTTGAACAAGCAAAATTACATATATTAATTATATGTTAATAATATGATGCACCAAAGAGTGTGACCATCGGTTCCTCTTTTCAACATTTTATCCATGTAATATCGATGAATATTGTATATGGCAAAACAACGTTTGCAGCGTATACGTATACATTCAAAATAATTTTAAATCGATGTGTCCTTCATAGAAAATGGTAAATAGCTGCCAGGGGAAAAATACTTAACTATTAAACCTTCTGATTTGAAATTGGCTAGACCATTCCGAAAGTGACGGCTGACTGTTTTTTGTTTTTAAATTGGTCTGTTAAATACTGGGGGTACCGATATAAGGGGGCCAATGTGATAATTTTTGGTAGGGAGACTTTCTGCATATCGAAATTCCAAAACAAAATAAATTCAAGCAATTTGGTCGAAAAATGGTCTCAAACTGCCCAAAAATACCGAAATATGGGAGGTAACATATTGAATATACTCTAAATATATTGAATATACTCCGTTTGAGATAAAAATTTGCACAGCGTAGGTAATTAGGTGTTGAAATCGGTTCAGATTAAAATATAGCTCCCATACATATTTTCATCCGATTTTATGTAAATGGTGCACGAAACTTCCTAGGTAGTTCCGATTCAGACAACATTTTGCAGAGTGTATCTAATTTGGTTATGGTTGATGTATGCGAAGTTCTGTTGAAATTGTTTCAGATTTAAATATAGCTTCCATATATAGTTTCGTCTGATCTTATGTAAATGGTGCACTAAACTGCCAAGGTTTGTCCGATTGAGACCAAATTTTGCACAGAGTATTGAAAATGGGCCAGGTTGAAGCACGTGAAATTTTGTTGAAATCGTTCCAGATTTAGATATAGATTTCATATATATTTTTGTTCGATTTTAGGCAAATGGAGCCCCGAGGAGCCTATGTTCTTTCGCCCAACCTGAAATATTGCATAGCGTATTGGATTGAAATCGCTTCAGATTTAGATATAGCATTCATATATATTTTCACACGATTTCATCTTATCGAGATACATTTTGGTCAGAGAACTGTGCTGCAGCCTACCTAATGATTGCTCAAATACGTCAAGATTTACATATAGCTCCCATACATAATTTTGTTCGATTTCATACAAATGTTATACCATAGAAGTCAAGTCTTGCATGTCCATCAGGTATGTAAGTTTTCATAGATTTCAGAATAGTATGTGTATAGGTTGTTTAAAATTAGTTGAAATATCTACGTAGCTCACACATTTAATTTCGTCCGATTTCATTATAATGGCCCTACATGTTATGTCTGTTCTCTCTACAGGATAATGTGTGGAATGGAGGGTGAAATAATCTTTGATGTAAATTGTCGATCTAGACACATTTTTACATAACCCATATGTAGGCTTTTAGCTCCCCATTCTCATATAAGTGGCTCCAAATGGCCTTTCCTTGCTTTTGGAGAATTAAATATATAGTTCAATATTTTAGAAGAGCCCTCATATAAAGATCCCCCACATTTTCGTAATCTTCATGGTTTTATCTGCACTTTCCCACTGAAGTGGCTGAAAATTAGCTTTCCGGTTTTTTGGTCATTTAAAAATATCTTTGCAAACCTTTTTCAATATAGCTCAATATTTTTACAGAACCATCTAATATTCCGCCACATTTTCGGTATGTTGAAGGTTTTTGACCGCCTTTAATGGAGGGTACTGTTCCATATCGGTCAATATCTATTATTTATGATCTGTTAAATTTACGATAATTTGAAAGTTTTAGCAGCATTTCCTCACCGAAGAATAATTTCCGATTTCTATTGAAAAGAAAAATTCTTGCAAAAATAGTTTCAGTATAATGTCCAAGTTGCAGTAATTTTACATTTCGGGTTTTTGGAAGATAAGAAACATCTTCACAGAAAATGTTCGGTATAGGTCAATGTTTATCAACCTGAGTTTTATCTGAACACAAACAAACGGCCACAACCGTTTTTATGAAGTTTTGCTTTGTTACTAAATATTGTAAAGGTTCAAAGTTTATGAGGCAAGATATCTGTGTATGGATTATTCACAATTCATATTAGGGAATCCCACCTATTTGACCCCTAATATGGATTGATCCATTTTAGAGTGAAATGGTCGGGCGATTTGATTGACAATATAATAATATAAATTGTATTGTACGTGGGAGACAGGGGTCTGGATATTTTAGTTGTATCATTATCACAAAAAATCCTCCTCCTTTCGTTTGCAGGACAAATGGTCACACTTTTTATTTGGTTTAAGTAACATATATTCTGGAATTAATAAATAGCTCATTGAAATCTTAATCATTTTTTTTTTTGCAAAAATCTAGACTGAAATTATTTTTACCTATTCAATTAAATAAGAAAATATAAGCTTGATTGATATGTGTAAGCCTATTCGCAAGCATAAATAACTGGTTCATTGCTCCAGGCATGTGTGAGTAAAATAATCATATCAACAACAATTCAAATAGTACACAACAACAATAACACAATAGTTCCAATGTGAGAATAATAATCAATCAGAAGCAGAAATAATTCACGTATTTTGTCATGTATAAAAGCTATGAGAATTTTGTCAACAGCTATCAGTTCATTACGCTCCATTGCAAAGAACAATCTTCAACAACCTCTATTCAAAATGAAAGTAAGTACCAGCTTAAGGACAACAACCAAAAGGATTATTATCATCTAAATAATGGGGACATACGAATTAATATTTTGTTCTTTGTTTAATACCTTCTAGTTCCTTATCTGCTTGGCTTTTTTCGTTGCTGCAGCTAGCGCTCATGTTGTTGCCCCGGTAACTACTTATGCTGCTGCAGCCCCAGCTTATACCACTTATGCTGCTGCCCATCCAGCATATACCACTTATGCCGCTGCTGCTCCTGCCTATACCACCTATGCTGCTGCTCATCCCGCCTACACTACATATGCTGCTGCTGCTCCAGTTTACACTCGGTCCGTGTATTCGGCTCCCGCTGCCTATACCACCTACTCTGCTCCAGCTGTAGTTTCAGCTCCTGCTGCTGCTACCGTTGTTGCTGCCCCAGCTGCTCCCGCTGTCTACACCACATTGTTGAAGAAGAAGTAGAATCTTTGAAATTGGAACCATGTAATGAAAATGATCCTTCCTCCCCTTTGCTTGACTGAATTGGTTTTAGTGACTGAATGCTGTTAGAAAAAATAAATAAAAAGTAAAAAAACTTTAAATAGACATTTTGTTTTAATTTTCAGTTAATTGAAAAATACTAATATTATGCTCAAGAAGGCAATTTGCATATAAAATATATTTGAATACACTACATAACCATTGCATGTAGGTTCGGTTTTGGCCAGAACCATACTTATAGTTTTGGTTAAAATATAGGGGATCAAATTTACCACTTAACGGTCTAGACGCGCTAGAGGTAATAATTTTGACCCAAAGGTATATAGTTTATTCAACAAATAATAATGACTGGCTTGGGGGTCAAATGGACTTAGATAATATGTTTACTCCAAAAGGACATAGTCTGAAGAAGTTGCCAGGCTATCTATAAATATTTTTTAACTTTTATATTGATATCTATGTACTCGAATATTTTGGTTATAATAACATGTTTGCAGAAGTGTTTAGCCCGCTTAGAGGAAGCATATTTTCTGAATTATCGCCCAAAACTGGAAATTTACTCCGCACTAGTGTAATGCATCACATGGCCGTCCCGATGCACTGTACTGTTTGTTTACTGATTTATATACCTTCTACCAAGAGGTGAAGCACCTTGAAATATTTGACAAAAAACTTTTATGTCGGCTTAGCCAATATCCGCCTGTGTGATGAAATCACGATAGTTCTTCGAACATTCGTATATAAATTTCTTCTACGCACTAATTCTTTCTGTATTTTTTTTTTACCCTCCACCATATATAACTCATCGAAATAATCATTTCCGATCCTAAAAAGTATATATATATATATATATATTCTTGATCAGCGTAAAATTATTTGTCGATTTAAGCATGCCCGCCTTTTTTTGTAAACACTCTAGCCCCTAAACTAATTGTGAATTATGAATATTGGTCCACTTTTTAGGGTAGCTCCCATATAACAGAATCCCCAATTTTGAGTAATTTCGGAGTTTTTTTGCGTAGGCCCCATATGAGGTACCCATCAATTTTGGGTATTTTGGGGTTTTTGAGTGCGTGTTTCAACCAAGTTGGTATTGTGTGTTATAATTGGGTACTAAATCCCTCCACTAAAAATTATAAATATTAGGATGGGGAAAAAGAATTCCATTAGGCCGGTCGTCGAAAATGTCGATAATATGGGAGAAATTATCGAAGATGACGGTCAGTCGTAACATTGCCCAGGAGCTAAAAATAGACCATAAAACTGCTTTAATACATTCGCACAAAGCTGGTTTCAAACAATCGTGCTCAAAGACCGAAGAAGCACCTCAAACGAAGAAGCACCAAACCAGGACTAACGGCCAGGAAGGTTCTGCTATGCATTTCCTGGGACTAGAAGGGGATTATTTGTTATGAGTTGCTTCCATATGCCCAAACGATAAATTCTGATCCCTACTGTCAACAACTGGACCGTTTAAAAATACAGTGATTCGCCAGAAACTTCGGGAGCTTGGTTGGAAAGTTTTACTGAGTCCGCCATACAGGCCGGGTTTTGGCACCAAGCAATTATCATATTTTTCTTGCATTGCAAAATTTCTTTAATAATAAAAAAATTGTATCTAGGGAGGATTGTGAACATCAACTACAACAGTTTTTTGCAAATAGATAGCAGGACTTCTATGAGAGAGGCATTATGAAGTTACCTTTAAAATGTTAACAAATAATACAACAAAACAGTGTATATTTGGCATAAACATTCCGAAGCATGTTAAAAAAGGGGTTGGAATTACCAATATGGGACTAACAAAGATCGCATTCAAAGGTCCCGACCTATATGGAATATATTAAAGGTCTTTGAAGCACTATACAACCGAAGAGGCTGTAATTTGACATTTCGGAAAGGTCTTGGCTCACCTAAGATGGTCTCTGTCGCACTATACAATGTAAGCGGATGTTAGTTGAGATTCCAGGTTCTTGGTGGGTAAAAACATTTATTTGTAGGAAATTGTAAATATTTAAAATCTCTGCAGAAAAATACGAATATAGTTTGATGTTTTCTAAAGGTCTCGCATGAAAATATTCGTGTCCGGATTATTTGAGAGCAAAACACGTATACACAGAAAAATTTCGTTACAGCTGCACTTTCAAAGGTCCAACCCATTTCCATTTCGGCTTTGATAGGGGCTTTTTCAAAATGTTCAACAGAAGCTGCAGTAATTTTAGCTTTCCGGGTTTTCGGAAGATTAAAAACATTTTCGCAGAAAATGTTCAGTAAGGTCCCGACCGACCTGAGGAATTTTCATTCACACCATATGGTGGAGGGTAAAAAAATATAAAGCCCCTGTGCTTTACCCAGGAAATAATAACTTCTGCATATCTTTAAAGACTCCCAGCATTAGCTTGTTTATGAAAATTCCCTGCTTCAGATCGTCTTTGAAAGATTCCCAGCTTCAGCTTGCATATAAAATATTCCCTGTTTCAGCTTGTCTAAAAAAGCTTCAGCTCGTCTTCTTCCATGATCTCTTCTATGAAGGACTCCCTTCAGATCGTCCTTAAAAGACTCCCTCGAGCATGTTTATGAAAGGCTTTCTTTCGCTCGTCTATGAAAGACTGAAGCGCACTGCTTTTAAGACTTCGTCAGGTAAACATGTCCGGAATTTCCCACGCCATAATTGTTTTTACATTAAATACAAAACTAGACCCATTTGTAATGGCTTACATTCCGCAATTTCAATTTTGATTGATGTAATTTCAATTGCCCATTTTAATTGTGTTCAATGCCCCGAAACCAATACTTCGCACAACGAAATTGTGAATGAACAAAAATCATATCCAAAATTTAATAGTTTGTCCATTAAAATGTAGTATTTCTATCTTTTTTATGATAACCAAAAAATATCTTCAAGTTCAAGAATAGGAACCAAACGCAGAAAATAAGCTTATTAAAAACGATTACACAAAGAAAAACCAACATAAGAGATAAAAACTTGTTTATTTATTTCAAACAATTGCCCATAAGTCATGGTAATACGGCGTAAAGACGTTAATTATGCTACCAACAATGGGCTGGTATGAATAACAACTGATTGGCCACATACAACAAGACTACAGAGGGTTCTTTGCTGGGCTGCTGGTTATGGTTTAATTTTTATTTTTCTATATTTTGTTTTTTGTATAAAAGCCTGGCGAAGTTATTGAAACGATATCAGTTCATTACGCTCCATTGCAAAGAACAAGCTTCAACAAAAAACAATCAACATGAAAGTAAGTATTTGGTCAAACCAAGAAAAAAATCTATCGAAAAATGCTAAAGGATTTAATCTAACATATATTCCCTTCCCTAGTTCCTCGTCTGCTTGGCCCTCTTCATTGCTGCTGCTAGCGCACATGTTGTAGCTCCTGCCTACACCACATATGCTGCTGCCCCAGCTTACACCACTTATGCTGCTGCCGCCCCTGCATATACTGCTTACGCTGCTCCAGCTTATACCAGCTATGCCGCTGCTGCTCCCGTGTACACCCGTTCATTGTACTCTGCTCCCGCAGCCTATACCACCTATTCTGCCCCAGCTGTAGTTGCAGCTCCTGCTGCCGCTGCTGTTGTTGCTGCCCCAGCTGCTCCCGCTGTCTACACCACTTTGTTGAAGAAGAAGTAAAGTTCTTTGAAATTGGAATGCGTAAACAAGGAAAATGAAAGTGATCACTAATTGTATTTGGACTCTTGATTCTGATTAACGAATAAACGTAAAAAAGAAACACACAATTTTTAGTATTTTTTCTTATGGGGGAAAATTTTCGCAAAATTTTTCTGAAAACCTCTTATATTAAGTTACTATGTCCAGGGAAATATATATTATGTACGATTAGAATATGGAGGTTAATTCGCCGTCACATATCCAGTTTAGTATTCACATAGACCAGACAAGGCTCGTAGATCCTTCTGGAAGTAAAATGAATCAGTCTTTTACGAATTCTGTATTATTATTCATACAGATTGCTGGCTTAAACTATTAGTAACCGTTGTTTTCGTATATTTCAATATGGGTTTTAAATATTGTATTATTCATAGTGTTAGACGCTTTCTATATAATCGGATGTGGGTGTTCACGCATGATGATAATATTTAAAATTACTATTACCCCATTAGGGGGCGGAAATGTTGCGCTGATCGCTTTGAATATTTACATGAAGTACCGATTATGGCTATGAACGACGCCTATAATTTTCGAGGTTGATTAGATGATATTTCGGGGATGAAATAGACGGATAGCTTTATTTGTATCTTGTTTTTTTTTTAGTCGCCTCAATTATCAGCTGAGGGAAGGCGATCTTAAACCTTTGAATATGATAATGAAGGTCAATATTTAGCGGGTCAAATGAAAATTTTTTTTGATGTAAAATAACAACATGAATCTTATGGAGTAATATTTTACTTTGGGAAACCTGAAAGCATGCCGCAGAGGAGCTTTTAACCTGTAATCGGCTAAAAGATTTCAAACATATCGGGTAATAGCCCAGCTTCGGAATACAGATCCACAGAAACTTAGAGCTTAGTAGTAGCTGTGTGGAGTATAATATGGTCGGCCCCGTCCGACTATACTGCTCCTTTCACTGATTTTTGGTATGTAAAAATTCCGTTATTAATTATTGAACTTTTGTTCCTGCAACTTGGTATTTAATTTTCAGAGAGTATAAACAACTTTCTTGCAGACAATTAACAATGACATTACCTCCATATTAATGTATTTTTAAGTAGTTTTCACTGTACACCATGGACGGTATAAAACACTGTACACGGTGGACGGTATAAAAAGTTCGGCCTCGTCGAATTAAATCTCTTTTTTACTGGTTGGGTATTTGGTTTGATCAGCATTTCACCATGACATAAATGTCCCAATCGATTTTGAGTATTTTAGGAATGTGCACCTCATTGTGGAGGGCATAAAAAGTTCGGAACGGACGAGCTTATTGCTCGATTGAATCTTAGGAGTGACATATCTGGTTCTGGTCGCATTGCCATTTAGGTTAAATTTAAAATCTTATCGATTGAATATTAGGAGTGACATCTCTGGTTCTGGTCGCATATTTTTCAATTGGGCTTGAAAATGATGTATATTAAGTTACAATCCACACAATGAGTGTATTCTACGATTTTCGTTAATAGGAATGTAAAATTTGTTTCAGTTTTCTGTAGATTTTTCGAGACATACTTTCAGATTATGTTGGGGAATTCCGTATATTTTTCTATCGCAATTGATCAAAACAACATGACTTTCACTATGTCTGATGAACGGTAGCAAAATCCAAATCGAATATCTATTTTAACACCCAAGGCTAAAATTTTACACTAAGCCTTACAATGAAACAATTGAATACCTTTGGGGGTTTCCAGTATTATTTCTGATGATATAATCCCTTAAGAGAAATTTCAATAGAGTAAAAAACCTTATATCAATTACACCATGACATTGAAATTGTAAAAATTGGATATGCGTTACAATTCGAAATGTGTAAAATATTGAGAAAAGAACGAAATAAACAAGAACAAGAGTACAAAAATTCGACAATATCTATCAAGTTCTCTGTTAACAGAGCAATGATGAAATCTCAACAAAAGTAGGAACAACAATAACACCTCTTAAGCCATTGGCCACGCTAAATGGCATTACAATTATCAATTAAATCAGATCAGAGAATGACAGACCAGTGGAATGTGTGGGTGATTCTGCAGAAATATTGTGTCAAAAATAACGAAGAGAATTTTGTGTCTGCAAGGCATTAACTTGGTAAACATCCGCCTTCCATGTCATATTACAAACAGCAAGTTTTTTATTTTCTGTGTTTTCTTTTTGTTGTTGTTTTTGTTTGTTTTTCATTTGTCATATATGAAATTCCATTCCGTACAGGTTATTAATCTTCTCATTGGGATTTAGTTTTAGCTGTGCAAAACCAGTAAATTCACTTTTTTTAAATCATTTTAAGAACTTATTTTTAAATTATTTTTCGAGAAGGAGAAATGGTTTGGTTTGTTTTTCAAAATATCATTGATATGCTTCTAACTGCGACTGATGTCCACCAAATTTAAAATAATATAAAAACCAGGGCTCAATTGTTGTATCCATATCAGTTATCATTTGTAACTCACAAACCAACAACCCAAAAAAACTCAACATGAAGGTAATTGTTGCTTTTTTTAATTAAAAAAAATTAAATTCAAAATTTCTTACCATATTCCTTGATTTTCCAATATTTTCCGGTTTAGTTCCTTATCTGTTTGGCTCTCTTCATTGCCGCTGCTCAAGCTGGTGTTGTAGCTCCCATTACCACTTATAGTGCTGGTTATACCACATATGCTGCTGCTGCTCCTGCTTATACCAGTTACTCTGCTGTTGCTCCTGCTTATACCACCTACTCGGCTGCTGCTCCAGCTTACACGACATACTCTGCCGCCGCTGCTGTTCCTGCCTACACTTCATCTGTTTACAGTGCTCCAGCTTATACTTCATCGTTAGCTTATACTGCTCCAGTTGCTTATGCCGCTCCCGTAGCTACTTTATTGAAGAAGTAAATTGATATTTGTTGACACAAGAATTTTTGGCTTATGTACATCGAATAAATGTTGGTTCCTGTAAAATAGAAGATGAAAAAAAAAAAAATAGTTTTATTTGGAAGGCAGGAAATTAGATATTTATAATTATAACCTAAAAATCCATATCGTGAGGGTAATTCTAAAATACCAATAGCTCGATCTAGCTATGGTCACTACATTATAAATTGTAATCAAAGTCAGCAGTTATGATCAGCAGTTATCATCACAAAATTTAGCATGAAGTTGAAGACCTTGAATATACCGAAAAAGAGGTGAGAAAAAGATGATTGCCTAATAGGGGCCTAGCGTTTTATGGGGCTATACAAAAACGGGGATCAATATGGGAAATTTTGAGTAGTGACAGCCAATGAGAATACAGACAGACGGACACACATGCCTAGATCGACTTAGCTAGTCGAGATATGATTTATCAGTATACTAAAAGCTATAGGACTAATATTTCGCGGCGTTACAAAGTCTTGGAGCCACAATATAATTACCATGCAACATAGTTGTGTAAGGTATAATTAGAATCAAAACCGTTACCACACTGTGGTACAGGGTATTATGTCTTTGTTCATATGTTTTTAAAAAGCAAAAGGAAACGAGATAGACCCTAGGTTCCTTTTGAGAATATGCATAGAATCACGTTCGGAGTCCATTTTTGATTCGAATTGGGTGAAATTTGGCCCAGCTCATTTATTTGGCCCAAGGACGAATCCTATTGAAATTGGGAAAAATCGGTTCAGCTTTAGATAAAGCTCCCATATATATAACGGTGCACCAAAGTCCCTATATATCCTTTGCATGAAATTTTGCATAGCGTACTAAATTAAGCCTAGAACGATATCGTGAAAATCGGTTCAGATTTAGATATAGCTTCCCTATATTTTTTTTCGGCCGATTTTAAGTAAATAGAGCACCAAAATCCCTATATATCCTTCGATTTGCACGAAATTTGGAATAGCGTACTCAATTAAGTTCAGAATAATGTGTGTTTAATTTCGAGAAAATCGGTTCTGATTTAGATATAGCTCCCATACTTTCGTCCGATTTTAAGATAATGGTGTACCAAAGTCCCTATATATCTTTCGACTTGCACGATGTGTGTTAAGTTTCAAAAATGGGCTCAGATTTAGATATAACTCTCAAATATATTTTCGTCCGATTTTATGTAAATTGTGCACTAAAGTCCCTATATATATTCCTTGATGTAGCTCCCACATATACATATATATTCGTTCTATTTTACATAAATGGTGCACCAAACTGCTAATGTTTGTCCGATTAACACGAAATTTTGCACAGAGTATCGAATTGAGATTTTAATGACGTTATTGCGTTTTCTTGAAATTGGTGCAGATGCAGTATTACAAACGGGTGTCTGATTGAGATTAAATTTTTAACAGTGCGGTGTACCGAATAGCGCTATCAATTTTGCTATAAATCGTTTTCCATAAATGTGTCCCATTTTGCGCAAGCGACTCTAAATCTGCCCGAATGAAATTAAATTTAACATAGGATGCAGAATGTTCTCTTATGGGAACATTGGGATAAAATTGTTAGGACACATATGAACAATATACCCAAAGTGGTGAAGGGTATATGATACCCTTATATAGTCGGCACAGTCCGACTTTATTACTTTTGTTACTGGTTTTTGAAATAGTTTATCTATTAGTATTTTGCCGTAATAAGGATATGATCCCTGGATTATCATATCATAACTTACATTCGCATTAGTTCCCTCTTTTCAATAACCTAATACCACACTGTTTTATATCGTCCTTCCGTTTTACGCTTAAGCCATTCAAAAATGTACGCTTGTAAAGGAAGTTGTTTTATACATACGCATAATATGCGAAAAGGGCTATACATATGAAACCATTCATAAGTCAATGTGTGTGTGTGTGTGCGTGCATTTGTATGTGTGTTGATCGTTGTGCGTGTAAAGACATCATAGTTTTGCAGCTTGAATGAATGAATGAAGAACGTTAATGCCTTGAGCCAATTTTGTGTTGTTGTTGATGTTGTTTTCCGTTTGTTGCCACGGAAATCAAGCTACGGACAACCGCCATAAATGCCAAGTACCTTCAGCTGGTAAAACCGTTTTTGCCCGCAAAAAAGAAAATAATACCATGGCGAGTTTCATAAAACGTTTCATTCTTCATCGGATTTTAACGACATGGCACGTATGATGTAGACCTAGTTGTGTGAGTGTGTGTGTGTGTATGTGCAAATTAAGTTATTCACGTGGAACAAAAATAGCAGGAGAAGAAAACAAAAAGAGATGTATGAGTGAACCGGAAGTATTAAGGCATGTTTTACTGAAAAAAGAAACACACACGCACGCACACACACATCCATATACATCCTCGTCATACATAAACCATTTCCTGTAGGTTGTTGCATTTATAATTAGTGCTTCTGTTCTTATAGTTTCTATTATTATTGTTGTTGTTGAAGCTTTAAGTTGGGTATTAACATTTTTAAGTTTAAGTTTTTTTTTTTGCGAAATATGGGTCAAATTGTCGGTGGATTTAAATTCGAAATTTAAATCTCTACAGAATGGTGAGTGTGTTAGGCCTGAAAAATACGGCTTAAAATAAACTCAGGTTTTCATATCACACGAAAAGATTTCTTTATTTTTTTATTACCATCTCTATGTAAAACATGCTTTGTGCCAGACGAGAATCCATATCAAATCGGGCACAAATATGAGAAAGCCCAATCCCACTTTTGGCCCAAAACTAAAATGCGAGGCGAATCCCCATATTTGTGGGGTTTAAATCGTCTCGATCGACTTAATGTATTTTCATTGTCCACGTCATGGTGGATTTTTTGAAAAGTTCGGTACGCACGAACTTAACGGCTATAAGGTTCTATTTATAGCCTTCACCACAATGTGGAACAGGATATTATGTGTTTGTGCATATGTTTGTAGCAGGCAAAAGGAAACGAGATAGACACATGGTTCCTTTGGAGAATATGCATAGAATCTCTTTCTGAGTCGATTTATGCATGCCCGTCTGTCCGTCCGTCTGTAGCAAACTACAGGTTGCATTTATGATCTGATTTGGATAAAATTTGGCACAAGTCACTTATTTGGCCCAAGGACAAACCATATTGAAATTGAAGAAAATTGGTTCAGATTTAGTTATAGCTTCCGTATATAGTTTTTTCCGATTTAAAGTAAATGGGATACTAAAGTCCCTATATATCATTCGATTTGCATGAAATTCGGCATAGCGTAATGAATTAGGTCCAGAATGATGTGCGCTGAAATCGGTTCAGGTTTAGATATAGCTCCCGTATATGGTTTTGTCCGATTTATGGTAAATGGGATACCAAACTCCTTATATATCTTTCGATTTGAACAACATTTTGCATAGTGTACTAAATTGAGTCTAGAATGACGTGTGTTAAGTTTCGAGAAAATCGGTTCAGATTTAGATATAGCTCCCATATATAGTTTCATCCGATTTTATATAAATGGTGCACCAAAGTCAAAATATATCTTTCGATTTGCACGAAATTTGGCATAGGGTACTGAATTAGGTCGAAAATGATGTGTTCTAAGTTTCGTGAAAATCGGTTCAGATTTAGTTATAGCTCCCATATATATTTTTGTCCCATTAAATGTAAATTGTGCACTAAACACCCATAGCTAGGCCGGTTGACACAACGTACTGAAATTAGTATTCCCTCGAAAAGGGGACGTCAGTTAGGATACATATGTAGAATATATGCTTTTTTTGGAACTCCACATTTGGTCCCGGCGAGCACAGCACATGTAAAGAGTACCTGAACACAGCTCGTATATTAAGATTTCCGGAGCTTAAGCTTTTCTATAAGCTATCGCGGAACTTCAACTAGTCTATAACGCACATATACATTCAACTATTCTATATATATATATATATATATATGGTTTAAAACGGCTGCGTGATCTGCAACTCGTCCATAAAGACCCCCGGGCCTCCATGAGACTCAGCCGGTCTATAAAGGCTACCAGCCCGTCTATAAAGTTTCAGTGAGTTCCAGCTCATCTATAAAGACACCCAGCTCATCTATAAAGACACCCCGAGCTCCACTTTCTAGATGAAGACTTTTTGACATCTGAATATTAGCTGCCTGTAAAGACTCCCTGATTTCAGCTCCTCTTTTAGGGTCCCTTATGCTTTAGCTCGTCTATAAAAACTCTCTGAGCTTCATTTCGTCGGTTATATCTCTTGGTGTTGAAATTCCTCCATAAGGACTTTCTGTGCTCCAGCTCGGCTATAAAAGACTCCCTGAGGTCTAATATAAAGGTTTATTAAGCTTCAGGTCTTTATGGAGACCATCTGGATGTCAACTGGTTTAAAAACGCTCCTGTTGGTGTCCTTAGCATTTATTTTTCCTACCCATATACTTATTCTTTATTACTTTACTTCCTTCCTTTCATTTGTTATCTTATTTTCCCCACCACTTTTAATCCCAAAACCAAGATGCTATGTTGTACAAATCATAGATAATAATAATTTTGATTTGAAAAAAAAAATAAACGCAGACCAAGAGCATAAAATCTTGGCGGAGTGAAAGAGAAATATAAAAAACAACGTCTAGTCCATAAGATTTTCATCACATTGCTTGAAATCTCATTAAAAATATCCTTCCGGCTGCAAACGCCATAAACCTGCAGTAAGATACAAGCCAAATAGCGGATAGCTAACTAATACATATAGGTGTAGATGTCTGTGTGTGTGTGTGCGAGAAAAACTCAAATTGAAATGTCGGCTGAACAAGAAGGTGGTCAGATGGGAAATATCATAAAAACATGCTGACCAACTTCCTGGAAGCCCAGTGCCAGCAGTTTTTTTTTCAAATCAACATTATACCGTTATTAATACAAAAAACTCAGACACACCTTACTATGTTGTTGTTGTTTTTTATTTTTTTTCATAACGAAGTACAAAAAAAATTTAAAAACATCAACAAAA